GTTTCAATGCTTGTTTCTATTACCAATACTGGGAAATAATTAAACATCATGTTTACAACATGGTCCTGCACTTTTGACATTTAGAACACCTCCTTCAGAGTCTCAACGAGACCTTGATTATCCTTATTCCAAAATCTGATCGGCCACAATCCTTCGAAGGCTTTTGACCCATAAGTCTTTACAATGGAGTTTACCAGATAATATCAAAAGTCTTTGATAACAGGCTTAAGCAAATTTTGGACAAGCTAATAGTCACAAATAAGTGTGCCTACCTAAAAGGAAGGTTGATTTTAGATAATATACTTTTAAATGCTAATTCATGTCACAAATTGGCTGAACTAAAAGTAAATTTCTTGAAAGCCTTTGATAAATTATCTTGGCAATTTATTACAACCATTTTAACCCAAATGAACTTCCCAAGAAAGTGGGTTAACATGATCATGCAGTGCATTTCATGAGTATCATGTTAAATTCTCTTCAATGGCCAACTCACTTCTGTTGTTGCTCCAAATTAGGGTATTAGACAAGATGATCATCTCTCTTCATATTGATATATTCTTTCTGCAAACATCTTGTCATGAATGATTTCCAAATTACAGAGTTCAAATCACTGGAGGGGGATTAAAATATGTCAAAGAGCCTAACAAATTACTCATATGCTTTATGCTAATGATTCTCTTTTCTTCTCTGGAAGCACGATTAAAAATTTTTGCCCTGTTAAGCTTATCCTTGTTATGTACAATCTATGATCTGGTTAGAATAGAAATAAATCCAAATCTTTTGTTGTATTTAGCCCCAATGTTCCTCATGGTGATTAGGTCAAATTATCAAAATTATTGGGTTTCCACTTTGCTTCAAGACTTGAGAAATATTTAGGAACCTAGATTGACCCAGGTAGAAGTGAGAGTCTAATATATTAGCACGTAATTGACTTTGTGGAATCAAGGATAAGCTCATGGCAATCAAAGCTCTATTCTTAAGCATCCAAACTAACTCTCATCAAATCTATTCTGGCATTAGTTAATATACACATTTTATCTTCTATACAATTACCTCAATATGTGCATCATCAAATTGATGCTAGTTATGCCAGTTTTTTCTGGGGGACTACTAGCGTTAAGAAGAGAATACACCTCCTTCAAAGAGACATTCTTTTTTGACATGCTGAAAAAGGGGGATTGGGTTTAAGACCTACCACGGAATCAAGCACTGTTAGCAAAGCATATTTGGAGAATTATCTCATCAGAAAAACCCTCCTTGTTGGCTTCCACACTAAAGATCAAGTATATTGATCTTTCTACCGAAGCAATTATCAAGAATCCTTACAATTCCTCACGGATATCGAAGGGGCTTTCTGAAAATATGAGAATCATAGTAAGGAGATTAAAATTGTGTGCTAAGAATGGTACTGTAATTCCGGCTGATCACTACCTTTGATGGCCCACGCAACGGGATTAAGCTACTTTGTTGAATATTCAATGAATAGCTTATCCATTATTGCATGTTTCATTATCTTAGAATCCTATTATCTGGAATTCACAGTTTTCATGCTTCATGGTATGATCGATTCATTTCTATGTTAGAATTAAAGTTTTGATGATAACAAAGTTTAATACTGACAAAGTTTTAAAGTTTCTTAAATCAAAGCTCTAGTTTGCAGATATGCTCGAGTTCTTGATATTTTCTATATTTAAAGGATTTACTTAATCACCTATTTGAGTATAATACTTCTATGTTTTGATAAAATAACTTTTCTTGAGATATTTGTTTTGAGAAGTACTTGCCCAAGTAATTTCGAGTATTAAAAGATTTATCCCAACATATACGAGAGCAACTTTTCTTTTCTTTCCTGCCCAGAGAAAAATCTATTTTACCCGAGTAATAGTCGAGTTTGACTAACTTGGTTATCTATTCAAGTATTGCGTTTTGCCTCTGAAGAAACTTAGCCCTTCTCAAAATGGTTTCAGAAATCAAGTCTTCTCTGAGTAATCTTCCGATTAAAGCCTTTCCTATGTTTCAAAGTCTGTTTACCGGAATACATACTTGAGGATGAGTATATTTCCCTCTTGAATGAAAATTTGCTTTGAAAAATGAGTTTCGTACGTGAGTTCGTGCTCGAGTTCTGATCTAAAAGGTCTTTCAATCCTTATTTACACAAGTAATTTCCTGAGTATCTAAACATCTTTAGTTGCCTAAGTCTTTTGGGAGTAAACCACATCTTATGTTTTCTTGAGTAACTTCCGAGGTAATAGATTACTCGAACATTTACCTGAGTTAGTGTCCTCTATTTTGTTTACTTCTCCTCCCTTACATGAGTTTCTTCTCGGGAAATCAAAGCTCATTTGTTCTAAACTTTTCTTACCCGAGTATTAAGCCTTCAATCACCTTGATTTAAACTTAGCTTATCTTTGCCATCTAAGCTATTTACTTAAGTACCTATCCAAGCATGTTCTTCCTCGTTCAAGTTTTCATCTTTTACTCAAATACTCACTCGAGTTATGTCAGAAAACTAGTTCTATCAGATTTTTATCCTCACTCAATCACTTATGTTTGGACTTAATAGTTTGAGAAATAATTACTAATCACTTGCTTGTATGTTTTTAATGATCTACTTTGAAGCATGATTATCGCAGGATTAAGCCTCAACGGAAAAGTGACATTGGTTAGCAACTTCTATCAAAAGCATTAAATGTAACTTAACAAATATATACTACCAACCTACACACATCGATCTCCGACGGATGCAAGCCATGGAGTGTAACGAATATATTTGGAGATCGACTATAAATAGAGCAAGTATTCAATAAAGCGGCATCAAATTTGAGCTACCATGCTGCTACATTTATAACTTGGTTTCATTGCCCTGTTATTTTTAGAAATACACCCGAGCGTCAATGTTCATTAATTATACTCTATAAGAGAGATACATTCTTTACCCTTTGATACTCAAGAATGTAAGATTCTTGAGTGGGTTGTAAATTACAAGAAGTAAGAGGGAGCAATTGAGAGATTTTAATTGTTGTAGTGAGACACCAAAAGCCTATTGAATCTTAGAGCTCATAGTGGAAATCTCATAAGAGTTCTAAGGACTAGATGTAAGTTCAATGGTCAAATGAACCAATACAAACTTGCTTTGTTTTTCTCTCTTTACTTTCCTTCAATAATATCTTTCTAACTCTCTACTCATTTAATCAATATCAATTTTGTTGAAGTTTAAAATTTTTAATTATCATTCAATTCACCTCCCTCTTAGATGAAGTTGCCTGCTAACATTCTAGAGGTTTCTGTGGAAGTTTCATTTGCCATACAAGTAGATTCTTTTCATTTGGAAGTCATTTCACAATGCCTTGCCATCAATTGATATTCTCGCCAAACATCACATCCCTTCATCCATTTTATGTGTCTTTGGTTGTGATGCACTAGAGATACCATATTGTCTCTTTGTCAATTGTCCTTTAACAAGAAATATATGGTATGGATGTTTTAATATTACAAGGCGACTAAGTGAAAGTGAACAGTCCCAAGCAAATTTTCTAGAGAGCGTACTTGTAGCCAAACAACAACCAAAAAAAAAAAAAAAGGAAGAAAGAATATGAAAATTGTGGACGGTAAAAAGTTCTCCAAAGCTGCAAAAGAACCTGGAAAACATGAGTGTTGGTCCGAAAGGTCACTTGCCCATAGAAGAATGGAAAAGGGAAAAAGCCATGATGATCAGGAAAAGGTAGTGTTGGTCACCACTATGGCCGTGTTTGCCAACATTTCATATAGTTGGTAGCTCTTACTTGTTTCAAGGAATGGCTTAAGGGCACTTTATTCAATCTCCAAAAGCATCGTCTTTTGCATTTAATCTCTCAAGTGAAATATCTTTTGCATACTATTTGGAAGAAAAGGAATAAGGCTTTACATCATGGAAAAAGAGACAACCATTTGTTAATAATTGGGGAAGTAAAGTAAATTGTTAACTACTAAGATCTTGCATGCTTCACTCGAAAAAAAAAAGATCTTGCATGCTTAACTTCTACTTCTACAGTAAAGGTGGAGAAGCAAAATCTATTATAGATTCTAGCCTAGCTTTGCACAACTATGGACGGAATGCTCTCTTTCATAAGTACAAGAAACTGGGGAAAACACTTGCTATGGAATTATTTGCCATAATGGATCCCCCATGAAGGAGCTCTTGTGTAAAAATAAAACAATCCCGAGGACAACCTTCCCCCCCCCCCTAAATGCTTCCATGTTGCTCTTTTTCTAGATTCACGCTACAGGACTCTTACAACTAGATGTTAAGGCATCATTAATGACTTACTATATTGAGATAGCTTTGTTTCTAAACTCCTCCAAAAGTTTCTTCAACTCTCAATGTCACTTGATAGGAATCTTAGCTTTGCTTTTTAATTTTTCTGTTTTTAACTTTAGGGTTATTATAATATAAATTTTATACAATTTCTTAGGAACTCATTTTACTTCACCCACTATTTGTATCTTGTAAACTTCTATTACTTAATAAAGTTAATACAACTTTTAGTCCCCAAATTTAATGTCATTTTGGTTTTAATCTCTAAAATATGAAACTAATGGTTTTGCCCCTTGAAATTTAATCTCATTGTAGTTTTAGTCCTTCAAATTTTAAAATAAATAATTTTAGTCTCTAAAATTTTATTTTATTTTATTTTAGTCCATCTCAAGATTGTTGGTCCTTGTTTCGAAGGACAAGGACCAAAACCAAAGTCAAATTACATTTTAGAAATCAGAACTATTGGTTTCAAATTTCAGAAACCAAAACCAAAATAAAATTAAATTTTGAGATCCGAAACCATTGGTTTCAAATTTTAAAAGCTAAGACCAAAATGAAGTCAAATTTCAGAGTTATTAACCTACTTAGTATCATTGTCTTTTTCTCGAAAAAGAGTAAGTATTGCATCCTATTCCAAATGGTGCCTACGCATTCATCCAGGTGAACCAGAGAGCTTCTCCATGAAACGAGGCAATGGACAGATGACTCGGAGTTTAATATATAATTTTATATATATACAGCTGTCACGCTACACAAAGTCCATCCCTTCAGAACAATACAAACGAGAAGGTTATATAATAATCGAGCTCAGCCTGTTTCTTCCCTTTTACAAATACACTATTATTCTATGGCATCTTAGTGAACAAACAATGAATGAATTACATGTTCGCTCTAAACAAAAATTGCAAACAAAATACTACTTCCTCATTAAACTTTCATGGGAAGGATGTTTTATGGCCATTAGTCTCTTGGTGAGTACTTGTACTTTGTCCCTCATCCGCCGCTTTTCCTTCAGCCAGCTCTTCTGCATCAGTCAGTTTTGCTGGCTCTTCTGCATTAGTCGGTTTCGCTGGCTCTTCTGCATTAGTCGGTTTCGCTGGCTCTTCTGCGTTAGTCGGTTTCCCCTGGGACAGTCAGCAAATAATTATCATCCTGGTGGTTTGAAAAATAGGAGTCTTTTCTCTTACATGAAGAAAATTGAGATATGATGTGGTTATTATATCTCAATTATCATTACTTACCAAGAACTGTTCATTTTGATTATCTCTTATCAAAAGGCAAAAGATTATCACCAAAAAAAAAAAGAAAAGGCAAAAGACATTTTTCATTCACAATTGTTTTTTTAAATTTTATTCTCCTTTTCATTCTATTTCGTTGATGTACCTAACGAATCCTAAATTTCGAAGTAGCTGGAAACCAACTAAAAACGTTGAGCATACTGCATAGACTAACCTTGTTTCGATCACGCCATCCAAGACCAAATGGACGAGAAAGCAAACCTATCCTCCTAGCAGGCACATCTGGCATCGGTTCTTGATTATTTCGTGATGCTGGGGAGCCAGGTTGCGAAGACCTATAAAGCAACAGAGACCTAGGGTCAACATAATCAAGGGCCCTGTTTACCATCAAACATATAGAAGTTACTCTTGTATAACCTAAAGGCTGCACCTATTCCCAGTTTTATTCTTATGGAAAGAGATGTTAAGCCACATGTCCCGGGTGGACCTAAATTTCACGACAAAAATTTGGAAAGACAAAACATTTCAACCATAGAATTACAGTTAGCTAGATATTTGGCAAACTTGACACACCGTGGTGATGCCTGGACTTTAACTTGGCCAGACTGATACTGCAAGGTGGCCTCAAGCATCGATTCTGCCATAACTGCTCTCTTCTCCATTTCAGCAAGCGCAGTAGTGGCTTCTTCATATTTTTCCTGCCATCAATTATATATGCAAATTGTAATGTTACAACAACAACAACAAAACATTATCCTACTAAGTGAAGTCACTGCATTGATTTATGATGCCATTAGGTTTTATAAATTGTAATTTGTTGCAATCTGAAAATTTACCATTGCATTCAACATAACAAAGCAATATACTGAAGCGTAGACAAAGATATGACCAAAGACAGACAATTAGAGTTTAAAGAAGAGAGAAATAGGATAAAACAAGGCATAAGTAACTCATCTGAACAAAATGTGAAAATGAAACTTCATTTCTAGGGGCAGGATAGAGAAAGGACCCTTAAAAGGAAATCTGGAAAAAATGGGCAAAGTTGGAAGCATCGTTTCTATGAGAAAAACAGATGAAACTGAAAGACCTTGACCAGATATGAAAATGAAAGTTCATTTTAAAATTCAAGTCCAATATCCTTGTCAAAATGCGAACATGAACTATCGGACATGACACTTTGACATCCCAAGTAGATTGACAACACTAACTTTCCAAGAAAATTGATTTGTTCGGCAAAGCAATTGAGCAGATTTGTCAAGTAGTAACGAAGTGGCCACCAGTGTAGTCCCTTCACAAGGATTAATTATAAAAGCCTACATATCCACAGAAAACCATACGAGAACAGGCCTCGATGAGATCTCTAGTTTGCTAAGATTGAATCATAATTCTTCCCATGGGCCCCATTGCAAGAGCCTGCTCAAGTTATTTCAGTCACATTTTGGCTCCCATGAAGAGGAGGAAATTTAAAACACTGACTCCTCACCAAAAGCGGAAACAAACGGGATATATTTAATATTTCAATTGTCCAAGAAGATAGCTTTCAAGACAACTGGTGAAAGTAATCAACTAAAAGGAGGGGCAACAAAAGAGAAATAAATGGATGCAAGCTCATAAGACCAGAAACAACAAGTGCCAAATAATCACTCAAAAGAAAAGCTTAAATTTTTATTTCCGGTGTGTAAAAAAGAAATCTTAAATTTAATCCACTAAACAATAAATCTTAAAAAAAATCATCCAGCTGTATCAACCACTGATTGACAAAATTGGTAGCCATCTATCAAATGGTATCTTCTTTGTTAAATTGGCTTATGATACAATGGGGCCGTCAAAAGTGACCAAATGGAAGTGATCTAAGCTTCAAGGAGTATGTGGCAACTAAATGTCCCTTGGTGTTGCAAGCTATTCGTGCGACTTGTCTTGAATGAACAACTATTGATTAATGCAATACACTTCTCTAGGGGTCTCTATTCCTCAAGCCAGTGTGGGGAAGAATTATTCCTGCTTTCAACATGTTTCTTTCCTTTAACAGACATTACAAGATGAATTGAATGGTGTCTGAATAGAAGATTATAGCAGGTGTGCAATGGGGGGATCTTCTTTGTCATAATTTTTTGGAAGGGGGAAGTAGAAGGAATGATAATATTGTTGGCAGTGGCAACATTGTGACTATGACTTAAGCCACGATAAAGATCATACAGATAACAAGCATTTATCTCTAGGCAGCCCAGTTGGAGGATACCCACAAGATGACAAAGGAAGAAGCGATGCAGTGGCGTTATTAGTGATCACAAAAGGATGCATTAGACAAGGGTTCATGTTCAAAATTGGCATAGCATCGCTTGAATGTATGACTATGGGCATGCTTAATGGGGCTTAAACATGTGTGGGAGCTGGGAGAGAGGCATGTTGTGCTGGAAGATGACTCACTTGAAGCTGTCAAACAGCTTTAGAGATATCTGAGTCAGATAGAACCAGAGAGGTCTAGTTGAGATCGGAAGAGCAGGTGAAACTGTGAAAACGAGCTAGAGTTAGATGGAAAATTACATAACTCTCCTATTAGCATGAATAGGGAGTTACATATCGTAACAAGTGTCTACTATGCTGAATAAACTCTTTTCCATGCTCACCACATAACATGAGTTGTAAAGCAAACAAAAGATGAATTAAGAATGATTAAAAAAAAAAAAATTGGGGGGGGTGTTTGGGGGCCCTGGAACCTGAAGCACTTGGGCAGCATATCTTTGTGCTTCTGCATCTTGCTCTGCAAACCTACGAGCATCCTCAGTGACCTTCTGCTCTTGCTCTACCCGCATCAAGACCTAGGAGATTACCAATAAACCCTTCAACTTTGCACAAAAATATTCTTCTCTAACAAAGTAAATAAGAAATCAAACAAAACTGAGACCTGAAGCATAGCAGTTTCCTGCTCTTGCTTATCGGCAAGTGCCTGCTGAAGCACAGTGATCTCTTGCTCCAACTGCTCAACCTGCGAATCATGAGAAACTCTCAGAACAAATTGAAACTCAAGACACCAAAAAATCATATAACTACCTTTCTTGACAGCCTATGCTTTGTAACATGTTCAGACTATCAGTGCCACAATCAAAGGTCAAGTAAACAATGCCTATGCAGAATTTTGCAAAATGTAAAGAATAGCATATAATATAAGTTAATTCTTGGGCAGAAATAGTCCATCGATATGGGATTTCATATTTTGCTCAAGTTTTTAAAGATGAAGGCCCCCGTGGCATCAATCGATGTGCTTCACTGTATTAGACATGTACAGCGGCTGGTTTTAAGTATTCAGGTTTCAGATCTTTGAATCTCAGAGCAGCATCATAAGTTTAATGAACAACAACTCTGGTAAAGTCCAATTAAAAGTTTTGGAAGCATGAAAGGCTAAAATTATATGGAGGACTCCAAGTAGGGCAGTAAACCCTATCCTCAATCCAAGCTACTAAGAAGAACTAACACGCTAGAGTGTCCCATAAAGTATCTCATGCAACTAAATATAGACCGACACCCCAAATTACCTTGGTCATCAATGGACCCCCATAGGAGCATTGACATCCAACAATTCAACTCTTAAGACACTTTACTAGGTTTCTCTCTGATCAAAACCTTCAAGACGTCAGAACCCTCTGGATACAAGCCCTTCCCAGAGCTGTCAGCCACAAACTTTGACACCAATTGATGGACAGCCAAGTAGAGTGACAAACCCTCTGCAAAAGCTAGCTATGGAGGTGGGAGAACAACCTATTAGTTAGAAAATCCCATCTTACCCTTCCCTTTGGTTAGTCGTATTTTGGCATGAGGCAAAGACTATCATGGAATATAAGAATTAATATATCAATATATTTTGAGAAAAAAACTAGAAAGAAATAAAAAAAGCTACTTTATATGCTATTTTATTGTTTATTTCGCTAGCAAGTAGATTTTGTAATGATGACAAAGTTTATGATTTCTTAATAGCAAGGAAACCTTAGGGTAGAACAAGTGGATGTTTCCTTCTTGAGAAGGAAACCTCAATCTATATCTATGTGCCCCTTTTGTATTTTGAAGATAGGCCTAATTGGTCTCTCTATTTTCCTCCTGTTCTTCTTTCCCCTCAAATTTATGCTCTATTACTCTTTCCGCTCTCTATTCTGTTATTCTCCCCATATCCCACTGCTAGCGCATGCACAAGTGTGTGTGAGTGTGTGTTGCATCAGTTTGGTATCAAAGCAAGGCTTCGCATGCTCCAAGGTTGCTTTTGTCATCAAAGAAAGTAAGAAACGAAGAAAAATCGCTGAAAAAACCCTACACTTTGTTTTCGTGACTGTTGGAGCCAAGACATAGTTCCCGATGCCAAACCACAAAACCAACACCACCTGTGTCCGTTGCCTAGAATCTGGCCAAAGCCCTGAACCTTGTCATCACATGCTCCTCCAAACACCTCATATGCCCCACCTGCCATCTGTACAAATCCTCCATGATCTAATTTCCAGTGCTTTATGTGAGTTATTTTACGAGGTTCCTTCCATTCTGTCCTATCCCAGATGTAAGTATTCTCAAATAATAGCTTCATGTGGGCTGAAATTCATTCCTTTTTGCTCCTTATTAACTACGCTTCTTAGTGGGCCTTTTGGCCAAAAACCTCATGCTAACCCTAGAATTAGTATCTGTTGCCAGGTGCAGTATCTAATCCCTTATTTTGTGCTATTCTGTTTTAAATGCTTTCCTAATTTCTAGGATAGGATCTCACCATATCTCTCTAGTATCTTACCATTTCTCTAATAGTTGAAGGTTTTTTGTATCTATTTATACCACTGAGATATTGAATAAAATATAAACTTTTCCATGCATCTATATTCTTTGTCTACCTTCATGGTATCAGAGCTATGATCCAATTTGGGTTTGGATTGAATGCTGGTGAGCAAAATGCCCAGAAGACAGCGACAGCTACTTCATCAGGACTGGCAGCAGCGATTCCTCTAGGCAGTCAGGTACCACAAGACACCAACCCAGTTTCTATCAACATTTAACATTTGAACGCTGAGAATTACCTCTAATGGGCAGGCAGCGTGGGCTCATGTGTCATGGGAAAGTGCAAGTATGGATACCTTACAGGTGCTGTACAGAAACCCAATGAGACAGATGACAAGTTTGCTAGTTGGAAGGCAGAAAACTCTATGGTCCAAGCATGGCTGATCGACTCACCACAGAAATTATAAACCACTTCTCTTTTCAGTCAGCTCGAGAAGCATGGGATGATACCATAGACATGTTTGCATCTCTTAAAAACATAGCAATTGTTCTGGAGATAAAGAGCTCGCTTCATGACTCCAAAAAGGGTAACATCTCTGTCACACAGTACTATGCTAATCATATCTTCTTTTGTATGCTTACATATCCTTCTCAATATCCTCATCTCAGCTACGTCCACTCTATGCTCTTGTTGTCACTTTGAAGCCCAACATTCACTCCCATATAGCATTATTGGTCTTATAGCAGTATGATAAAACTTCCCTTTTACCTTATTAGGTGCTTTCCAACCACAAATAACTTTAATATCCTTTCTCCATTTAAACCATCCAACTTGAAATCTATGATTAATATCTCCGCCTATTTCACCTTCTTTTTGTATAATTGATCCTAAATATCAAAAACTTTTGCCACTTGTACTTGAAGATTACTTCTTGTATAACTTCAGTTAGAGCATTCATAACTAGGTTAAACAAATAAAGGCTCAAAGATGATCCTTGGTGTAGGTCAATCCTCATAAAAAAGTCCCTTGTCTCACCTTCAAACGTTCTTACACGAGTTATCACCCCCTCAGACATATTTAATATGACTTTGATATATATAACACTCACACCTTTCTTTTTCATGGCTTTTCAAAGTATGTCTCTTGGTATGTGATCATAAGCTTTTTCCAAGTTAATAAATACCACATGCAAGTCTTTTCCTTGCCTTAGTACTTCTCCATTAGCCTCCTAGTAAATATATCACTTCTGCTGTGGACCTTCCCAATATGAACCCAAATTAGTTTTCAGAAACACAAGTCCTCTATCTCAAACGATATTGAATCACCTTTTCCAACAATTTCATATTAAGGCTCATAAGCTTTATCCCTCTATAACTTGCACAAGTTTAAATAATCCCTTTATTCTTGTAAATAAGAACTAAGGTTCTTTTCCTCCAATTATCAAGCATTTTCTTGTATCATTAAGTTTCATTAAATAATTTAGAAGGCCGCAACACACCCTCTTCAGCTAAACACTTCCAAACTTCAATAGGGTACCCTTAGGTCCAACAACTTTATTATTTTTCATTTTCTTAACTTCCTTAATCTCGCCAATGCGGATATCCCAATAAAACACCAAATTTTGTTCATCTTCTCTAATTGTAAAATTCTCCAACTCCCAAGTTGAATCTACTCTATTATTGAACATTTTGTAAAAGTAGGCTTCCTATCTTCCTTAATATCTCTATCAATAACCAAAACTTTGCCTTTTTCATTATTTATACATCTTATTTGGTCCAAATCTCTCGATTTTCCCTCCCTATTGTTTGCAATCTTGTAAATCTTTCATTCCCCAAACTTTGTGCCTAACTCCTTATAAAACTCCTCAAACGCTCTACAACAATATTCACCCACTACTTTCTTAGTCTCCTTTTTAGCCAAACAATACCTCTCCCAATTTTCAGCATTATTGCACAAGTGAATGTAAGTTGCCTACAAATAAGCCTAAAATCATTTAGAATTATTTCCTTGTTTCTTAAAATTAATATCATAAGTTTTTTCCTCTAGGTTATTTTATAGACTCCTGTTCCAGTGCTCGATCAAATTTAGCAACAACAGCAAATTGAATAAAGCAACAAATCGCAATGGAAGACCTGCCGCACAAAAAGCACATTATGATTGGAAAAATGGAACTGCCTTTTCAAATTAGAATATACCTTGGCACTTAGTTGTCGCCTATTATCCTGCTTAACCATCTCCATCAATGCTGTTTCGAGCTCCTCCGCTCTGAAACAAATATTAGAAGTGTTAATGATATGCAGCGCGCGTGATCATTCCAACTAGCATGGAAAAGTTCAAACCCTGACATCAAAAATAAAGAACTATCCAACAACTCTCATGACAGTGAGGCAAAAAAATATACAATTAACAACCAAGTCCAAAACTTCAGATTCTAAAAATCTATACAAAATTTCTAGCACTGAAACTTAGAATTTCAACTTCTCCCACCACCTAGCAAAATCCATAAATCCTTCCAGCTAATCAACTGTGCACAATTTTAGAAGATAATAAAGCTTGTACCTAATTCGATTGAAATTGCAAACTATGTACAGGGACCATGGCACCAAGTTTGCCACTTCCCTTAAAATCAGTAAATACATGAATTGTGGCAAAATATTTGCCATTGGCATTCCATGAAATAAGCCAGATATCAAGCAATAGCATGAATACAAAGTTCTGAAAAATCAGCCATTAAATAGTGGATAAAAGTTGAGACAAATTTCTAATAATTATACGCAGAAAATATGCTTTCGAAGACCCCCCCCCCCCCCAAGCTGGACAAAACTTGAAGCTAACACTGCCAATCTATTCTATCCATCCCTGACATTTTGAACATAGCTTCACTGCTTCAATTCTTGTCGAGTATCCTAGATTTAATGTGCAAGACGTAAATGCTTAATTATTGCAAAATCGTTTCAAGAGTTTATTCTCATTTAAAATCAATTCAACTTTTCTATATAATTTGAAGGCAGCAGATTTAAAAGAAGCAGGATTAAAGAACAAGAGTACTGATTATATTGTGATGCACATAAATCCAGTTAAATTGGGAAACACTATAAAACAGAAGAATCAGCATTATTTCAACTACCTGAGAACAGCTGATCTTTTTTCCTCTAGCAACCTGCAAAGTTCACCCTTCAACCATGCTACCTACATGGAGCTCGCTACATGTGAGCACATAATCATTTGATAGAAATTCTCTAATTTCAATCAAATTTTTAAAGGAAAAACACTTAATTTGATTTGGAAAAATGTAACAAAAACATGAATCTAGACAAAATAGTATATTTCATACTCCAATATTTAACTTCACTATCATCTAAAATAATCAGGGCAATTGTATAACAGGAAACGCACAACAACCTGCTCTTGAAGATCCGGAGCAGTATCTATCTCACCATCTCCAGTCAGGCTAATGATAATCTCATCCGCATTAGTGGAACCAGATTCTGTACGTGATAAACTACCATTAATCAATTGATCTGGTTTATCCGTCTCTGTTGTTGATTTAGGATCATGTTTAAAACCAAATAGCTTAGATGCCAGACCCTGAGAATCCCTCCAAGCTTTAAGGCCTTTTGATCTTTCTTCAACTGCAGCTATTACAGCTGGTCGATGTTTATTCCTAAGTTCTTGTAACCGGACTTCATTTACATTTTGGTAACCCATACATGCAGTCAACACAAGCTGACTACTATCAAATGTGGAGCCAGCTAATGATTGAAGCAGAGTTATCGCATCTCCAGCATCTTTTGTTGTTACCAATGCAGGACCTAAAATAAACAGGGCGAGTCTAAGTATTATCCAGAAAAACACTGTTGATAGTTTATTTTCTCTAAAAATACAGCAAAACATATGAACCCAAAAGAAGGTTATAAAAGCATAAAAATGCAATTTTCTACTCAGTACCATATAGCTCCATTAAAGCAAGTGCGGTTCTAAATAGCATGACACGGTTTCCTTCAAAAAGAAGCACATCCCAGACTCGCAGAACTGAAGTCAAAGCATTTCCAATAAATCAGAGGATAAATCTATATAATGAAGAACAATGATGTGATGTGTGAGAATTTTTTAGACAAATCACAAGACAAGACTATATGGTACACGACTCAATAAAGCATAAAACCTGACCACTTTCCCAAGGAAGCATGTTCATGAATATGGAAAGGAACCATGGTCCAGTAACCCATGCTACCTGCACTCCCAGGTAATCTAGATGATTGACTGCACAAGAAGTAAAATTGACTTAGAAATCAACAATGAAACTGCAAAATAAGTCCACAAGGAGAGATAAAAATGATTGACAATATACAAACCCAATTTGGGAAACCTCTCCCGCACCAACTCCTCAAACACAAGTTGGTCCACCTAATTAAGTGAAAATATAATAAATGTCCAACAGCAGTTATAACACGTTGGTGAATTTGCTAATGAAATAGAATGAAATAGAAAACACCACCTGAGACTCTATCATTTCCTCAGAGTAATAACCATCAAAATAATCATCTAAAATGCCCATCAATGTCCTGAGAAAAATCATAGTAGCGGATAAATAGGTATAAAAATCAAGACACAAGCTCAACAATGTTAAAGATGCCCTGCAGGCCTGAAGCAATCAGTCAGACATGCTTCACGATAGAGTGCTTATCACTACAAAAACATTTTTATTGATGTTTTCCCCATAGTGAGACTTTACGTATTCCAAAAAGTCAATCAACAATCTATCTCAGTACCTACCAAAAGGCATTTTCTTCTGGCATCATAAGCAGTAATAGACCGGCAAAGAAGTTCATAGCCTGCAACGTAAATGATTCCAAATCAGATCAGAAGGTTAGCTGTCATGAAACTGAGTATTGCATGAGTCATTCCAAAAACCTAACGCAGAAAATCTTCTTTATGCCATTTCGTTGCCACATTGATATACATGAATCACACACATTGCAGCAGTGAAATGAATTAAAACAGTTAAAACATATTATCTATAGACAAGGAAATGATGGGAAATGGGTGGGAAAATAGAATACAGGATGTTCCTAAAGGATACACAGATCATGATGAGGAGATAATACTGGTAAAGATTCATTTTCCATGACTTAAATATCCATATACACTGATTCGAATTTTGGAATCATAATATTACCGAAATTACTAAATAATCGAGATCAAGAACAACATTAAAATAAAATGGTATATCTTCAAGAGTTGTGGCTATAATTTGAAAACCTAAAAAAAAAAAAAAAAGGAAACGAAAGAACAACAAAAAACAAAAAACAAAAAAAAAAAGTGAGCCAACCTACCTGCGCATTCATACAAAAATGAAGAGAAATTCAAGTAGAATTTTCAGGGGAGAATTACACTGAAAGACCAGAATCACAAATTAATTATTAAGAAGACCCTCAAATTTACCACTCACATAACACAAATTTACCACTTGAGTTATGAGTATTTACCATTTACGTGATTCAAATTAACAAATAAAAAGGTATTTAACACTATATACTGTTCAAACAACACTAATTTACAAGTGGAGCAACGAGGATTTGTGGGAAAGTGGGCCTGCTGCCTAAAGGCCCAGAAACCAAATGCTTAACCTAATTTCCTATGTTATATTACAGAGAATATTCTGTAATAAATAGCAACGGTCAGATTAGAGAGAAATCTGGTCACTATTAGTGCTCCATGATTTTAGGAGGAATAGAATCAAATCTGTATTAATTAGGAGGTATAGGATCAGATCTGTATTGATTGGGTTGATTCCTATTTCCCTTATATATTATGTAATCAGATCATGAGTGAATATACAGAGAATTACTATTCAGAAACTTTCATGGTATCAGAGCCGTGAGAAAGAAAAGCCCTCTCAATGTCTTTCAAGGCTGCATTGCAGCAGCCACGTGGTTTTACTGCTGATGGCAGTAATCTCCCTCCTTCAGGGCAAGGTTCGGCCTCACAAGGTGGCGGAACAACTAGGAGTACACCGCCACTAGGTTTGCCATCGGATGCCTTCTCTCAAATGCCTGTTACCCATCATCTAAATGGGAACAATTACCTTCAATGGTCTCGCTATGTTCTCATGTTTGTTCGTGGTCGCAACAAGGAGAAATATCTCACAGGATCTCCGCCACCACCAGCTGCTACTGATCCACAATTTCCTACATGGTGTGCAGAAAATAATCTAGTAATGGCATGGCTCGTCAACTCCATGACAGTCGAGATTGGAGAAAACTATCTCCTTGCTACAACAGCCAAAGAAATTTGGGATTCTGCAAAGGCCACTTATTCTGTTACAGAAAATACAGCTGCTCTATTTCAAGTCAAACGCTTACTTCATGATCTGGTTAAAGGTGAACAATCTGTAACTCAATATTACACAGCATTAATGAAACTTTGGCAACAAATAGACCTCTATGAGGTCCATGAATGGTCCAATCCCACAGATGCCATGTATTACAAAAAGTTGGTGGATCGGGAACGGTGCTACAAGTTTCTACTCGGACTAGATGATTCCTTTGAAGATGTGAGGGGACGAATCATGAGTCTTAAACCTCTTCCCTCACTTATAGAAGCTTTCAATACTGTCAAGTTTGAAGAAAGTAGGAAGGTATTGATTAATTCCTCTTCTTTTTCTTCCACACATTCTAATGATTCATCTGCTCTTGCTGTCCGTGGCCCCCAAGGGGACACTAAAAACAAAAAGTCTAGCAAATGGTGTGACTACTGTCACAAGAGTGGACACACACGAGAGGTATGTTGGAAGCTTCATGGAAAACCTCCAAACAGCAAGCAGAAAGGCAAAATAGAAAGCAAGGGCTTAATGGTGGGTTCCTCTACTGCTGATAGTAGTCTCTTAAGCCATGATGAGCTACTACTTCTGCGAAAGTTGCTGGACAAGCACGCTACTGCCTCTACAAGTGAGACCCCTACACCCTCTGTTACTCTAGCCCGTGCAGGTACTATCCTAACTCATGCTCTTAGTAGTGTGACTCCATCTAAGAATTTATGGATAATTGACTCCGGTGCCACTGATCATATCACTGGATTTAAAGAGGTCTTTTCTGATTTCAGTCCTTTTTCTAACCATAATACTGTAGAGGTTGCTAATGGGCAGTTTTCCAAGGTTCTAGGTTCTGGAACTGTTATTATCTCTGAACATATTACATTGAAAAATGTTCTATATGTCCCTGAAATTAAGTGCAGCCTGCTGTCAGTAAAACGAGTTGCTGATCAATTGCATTGCCTTGTTACTTTTGATAATATTAGTTGTGTTTTTCAGGACTTGGCATTGGGGAAGATGATTGGCGCTGCTAAAGTCTGGAATGGACTTTATTATATCCAAGGATCTTCACCAAAAGTTTCTATTTCTTGCTCCATTTCATCTACTATGCCAACTAATGAAATAATGTTGTGGCATTCTAGGTTAGGCCACCCTAGTCCTAGTTATATGCAAGTTTTATTTCCTTCTATCAGTAATAAATCTGTTGTTGATTTTCATTGTGATACATGCCATTTTGCAAAACAAATTAGACACTCTTATCCTCCACAACCCTATACCCCCTCTCACCCTTTTTCCCTTGTCCATAGTGATGTTTGGGGGCCGTCTAAATTTGACACCAACTCCAAAGCCCGCTGGTTTGTAACTTTTATAGATGATCATACAAGATTGACTTGGGTTTTTCTAATTACAAACAAGTCAGAAGTGTTTTCTGTTTTTCAAAATTTTTATGCTTTCATCAAAAATCAATTCCAGACTTCAATCAAAATTCTTCGCACTGATAATGGGAAAGAATATTTAAATTCATCTTTTAAAAATTTTTTAACCACAAATGGTATTCATCACCAGACCTCCTGTGTCTATTCTCCCCAACAGAATGGAGTTTCTGAAAGGAAAAACAGACATCTTTTAGAAGTTGCTAGAGCCCTTATGATCGGGGGCAATGTTCCTCACCAATTTTGGGGGGATGCTATACTTACCGCTGCTCATTTGATAAATCGAATGCCTTCAAAAGTTCTGCACTTCCAGACCCCTTTACAAAAATTTCTTGACACTTTTCCAAACTCTTCCCTCGTAACTTCTCTTCCCAAGAGGGTTTTTGGGTGTACTGCCTTTGTTTATAATGAACATGGGGGAAAACTGGACCCTAGAGCCATTAAATGTATTTTTCTTGGTTATTCCTCAAATCATAAAGGTTACAAATGCTATTCCCCTGTTACCAAAAAGGTTTACATTACAATGAATGTCAAGTTTGTTGAATCTCAACCATATTATCCCAAATCATCCATTCAGGGGGAGAACAAGGAAAGTGACTGGACAATTTGTGACTATCACAAGGGTTCTCAAACAGACCAGCAAATAGTTGGACCTTCAATCTCCCTAGATATACCTATTATGCCTTCCCACTTTACAGAATCAACACACAGCTCCCAAAACAGATCTGAACATACACCAAACAGAACCGAAACTACCCCAAACAGATCTGTCTATCAAGATACAAATCCTTTTGAGCCTCTAAACTCTCTCTGTGACCAGCCTATGGTTGAAACTATGGAAAACCAACCTAGTAATACCACAAAACAGCAACGTGACTCTACATCTATGCAGCAACATGACTCTGCACCTGAAATGGGTTCTGAAGAACTTCATTGGCCTATTGCCCTAAGAAAAGGAAAAAGGAGCTGCACTCAACATCCTATTAGTAAGTATGTCTCATACAGTAAGCTCTCACCCCACCTAAAAACTTTTGTAGCAAATGTAGAAAGTGTGAAAATTCCTAAAAGTTTCAATGAGGCTGTTACAGATCTACATTGGAAACAAGCTATTGAAGAAGAATTGAGAGCTTTACAAAAGAATGGAACCTGGAAAATTACAAATCTTCCTAAAGGTAAATCAATTGTGAGTAGTAAATGGGTATTCACAGTAAAATATAACCCCGATGGAAGTATAAACAAATATAAGGCCCGTTTGGTTGCTAGAGGGTTTACTCAAACTTATGGGATAGATTACCAAGAGACCTTTGCCCCTGTAGCTAAACTTAATACTATAAATGTTCTCTTATCTCTTGCTGCAAATTTAGATTGGTCTTTACACCAACTTGATGTTAAAAATGCTTTCCTTAATGGGGACTTAGAAGAAGAAGTTTACATGGAGATTCCTTTGGGAATGAGAAACTCAAACAATTTTGGGAAGGTGTGTAGGCTACACAAATCTTTGTATGGGCTGAAACAGTCTCCAAGGGCTTGGTTTGAGAAGTTCTCTCGAGCCATCAAAGGGTTAGGCTATAAACAATGTCAAGCCGATGATACCCTGTTTGTTAAACACCATCATGAAAAAATAACTATACTTATTGTTTATGTTGATGATATAGTTTTGACAGGGAATGATGAAAAAGAAATCACAAAGCTAAAAGGAGACTTAGCAACAGAATTTGAAATCAAAGATCTTGGCCCACTAAGATACTTTCTAGGCATGGAGGTGGCGCGAACTCATAAAGGGATAAGTGTATCACAACGTAAGTATACACTTGACCTCCTAAAAGAAACAGGGATGTTGGGAGCTCGACCTGCTAATACTCCAATGGAGCTGAACCAAAAGCTAACAATCAAGTTAGATGGAAAGGTAGTAAACAAGGAGCAATATCAAAGGCTAGTAGGGAAACTTATTTACCTATCCCACACAAGGCCTGACATATGCTATCCAGTTAGCGTGGTGAGCCAATTCTCAAATAGTCCTCAAAAGGAACACATGACAGCAGTCTACAGAATACTGAGGTACCTGAAGAAGACCCCAGGACAAGGGTTGTTCTTTGCTAAGGGCACATCTAAAGAAATTGAACTATTCACTGATGCTGACTGGGCAGGATCAAAAAGAGATAGACGATCTACTACTGGTTATTGTTCTTATGTGTGGGGAAATTTAGTTACTTGGAGGAGTAAGAAACAACCAGTGGTATCAAGGAGTTCGGCCGAATCAGAATATAGGGCCTTGGCCCTAGGTATTTGTGAGGGGATATGGCTTATGAGACTCTTGAAGGAGCTTGAAATTGAGGTTAATGCTCCAATGAAAGTTTGGTGCGATAATGTGTCAGCAATCAAGATTGCTAATAATCCAGTGCATCATGATCGCACAAAACATGTGGAAATCGATCGACACTTCATTAAAGAAAAGATAGATAGTAAGGTGATTGATCTAGCTTACATTCCCTCAAGAAATCAAATTGCAGACGTGATGACAAAGTCTCTAACTCAAGAAAAATTTGAAGGTTTCAGAAGCAAGCTGGGAATGATTAACATCTACTCACCAGCTTGAGGGGGAGTGTGGGAAAGTGGGCCTGCTGCCTAAAGGCCCAGAAACCAAATGCTTAACCTAATTTCCTATGTTATATTACAGAGAATATTCTGTAATAAATAGCAACGGTCAGATTAGAGAGAAATCTGGTCACTATTAGTGCTCCATGATTTTAGGAGGAATAGAATCAAATCTGTATTAATTAGGAGGTATAGGATCAGATCTGTATTGATTGGGTTGATTCCTATTTCCCTTATATATTATGTAATCAGATCATGAGTGAATATACAGAGAATTACTATTCAGAAACTTTCAGGATTTACTCAATAGGAATAAAAGATTCGTAAATTTGGTCCTCAGGCATAATTCTCCCATTTCATAATCATTTATGCTATGGTCCTTTTAAATTCCCCAGAAAATTTGAACAAATTTATGGCCACATTCATCAAAAGAAAAGAAAGAACAAACTCCCTTTTTCATTCATTGATACTCTGTAAATTAAATTGATATAAGAAAACCACTTTTTACAGTTTATGAATTATTATGTCATAACCGGGCTAGCTAAGAGAAAATCACATACGAAAATAGATGTGCTGAACTCCATACCCTGTGCCTTGGATGAAGGTGAGCACTTCATAACTAAAGGTAAGCACATCCGTCAAGACACCACACCTTGAAATTCAGAGGCAAGGAACTCTAGAACACCTTGCCTCTGCCTTCAAGCAAGTGCAAATGCCCTAGTGGCTTTCATAACACTAACCATTATCCAAATATTAGTCCGAGGATGTCCCCTACATTAGTGCAAATGTTGTCTAAATCTGGATAACTCCAACCCACTAACTTAAGATAAAAAGGTCACACTCAGCCAAAAACTGATGGACCAGTAGCTAATGGGCCCAGATTTAATTGGTCAAGCCTAAGCGAGGAATGTGTGAAGTTGAGTGATAGAGAGAGAGGTGGGGCTGTGTGATGTATGTATTTGTGTAGAGGGGTTCAGTGAGGGAATCAAGTAGACCGAGTATTGTGAGGAGAGGGGGTCTAGTCCCTCGAATACCAGACTAGGAGGGAATTATTTTCTCATTGTTTCTTTCATTTTTCAGTGTGTTTGAGCTTTCCCAAGGCTAGAGAACGGACTTGTATTCTCCACATTTTACAGCAGTAATAGAGGACACAGAGCATTAAATCTCGTCAAATCTGTCTTAAAAATAGCCGGATCTATCAAAAACCCTTATATTTATTTGACACACCAATGACAGACTGTTATGGCGGTCTTAGTCCTATGTGTTTGAACAGATATATCATGGAATTAAACATGATGCCAGTGGGTTCAAGGTTCCCGAATCTCACAAGGCCAAAACGTTTTGCCCTAATATTCAATGAGTTATACAAACAGGAAGATAGATGCAAAGTTTTTAAGCAGTTAATAACATGTTGTGGGAAAGTGGGCTGGCTGTTAGCGGCCCATGAACCAGTATTTTACCCTAAATCTCCTAGATCATTTAATCATAAATGCTGTAGTCCAGGATCATTTAATCATAAATGCTGTAACGGTCAGATTGAGATAAAATCTGATCATATCTGATTATTATCCTATCCCATGATTCTAGGAGCTATTTAGGGAAACCAAATCAGATCTATAATAATTAGGAATATTCTTCCCCATCCTATAAATCATGTAAATTGCTATTCAGTGAAATATATTGTGAATCATTCAGAAACACTAATATGGTATCAGAGCACTGATCTGAAAATATTCTCAATGGCGTTCAAAGCTGCTCTTCTGCAGCCACGCGCCTTCGCTGCTGAGGGCAGCAACTCCGATCCCTCACAGCAAGGGACACCAGCCCTAGTCCCTCAATCTGATGCGTTCTCCCAATTCCCGGTTACCCATCGCCTAAATGGGCATAATTACCTACAATGGTCCAGATACGTGTTGATGTTTGTTCGGGGACGAAATAAGGAGATCTATCTTACTAAAGCTCCACCAGCGTCCACTGACTCCCAATTTGCAACATGGTGTGCAGAAAACAACCTAGTAATGGCATGGCTTATTAACTCCATGACCGCCGATATAGGAGAAAACTATCTTCTTGCCACCACAGCCAAAGAAATCTGGGATTCTGCTAAAGCTACCTATTCTGTCACCGAAAACACAGCAGCTTTGTTTCAGGTTAAGCGACAACTCCATGACCTAACCAAAGGTGATCAAACTATTACCCAGTATTATACTGCTCTAATGAAACTTTGGCAGCAAATAGACCTCTATGAGGTCCATGAATGGCCCAGCACTGCAGCAGCCATGTATTACAAAAAACTAGTGGATCAAGAACGCTGCTATAAGTTTCTTCTTGGTCTTGATGATTCCTATGAGGATGTGCGAGCAAGAATCATGAGTCTCAAGCCACTTCCATCTCTACTTGAAGCATTCAACACTGTTAAATTTGAGGAAAGCCGAAAGGTATTAATCACTGCCTCTAATATTTCCTCTACTTCAACTAACTCCTCTATTCTCGCTGTCAATGGCCCACAAAGTGATCCCAAAGCAAAAAAGGGTAATAAGTGGTGTGACCACTGTCACAAGAGTGGTCACACCCGAGAAGTGTGCTGGAAGCTGCATGGCAAGCCTCCAAACAACAAACCTAGGGGCAAACCTGGCAGCAAGGGAATGCTAGTAGGTGTTAACTCTAATGAAACCATTAGTCATGATGAGTTGCTGTTACTGCGCAAATTTTTGGATAAGCACCTGCCCTCTACTCCTGACAGTGAGAACACTACCCCTTCTGTCACTCTAGCCCATGCAGGTACTGCTCTCACTCATGTTTTTCATAGCCTGACTACATCTAAAAATCTATGGATTATAGATTCTGGCGCAACTCATCACATTACTGGATTTAAGGAATTATTTTCTGACTTTAGTGATTTTTCCATACACAACTGTGGAAGTTGCAAATGGGCAATTTGCTCAAGTCAGGGGCTCGGGAACTGTGATCATTACTCCTAATATTACTCTGCATAATGTCTTATATGTTCCTGAGATTGAATGCAGCTTGCTCTCAGTACAACAAGTGGCTGAAAAACTTCACTGTCTTGTTACTTTTGATAACACTAGCTGTGTTTTTCAGGACTTGGCATTAGGGAAGAAGATTGGCGCTGCTAAAGTATGGAATGGCCTCTACTATATACAAGGGTCCTCCCTACAAAAATCTATTTGTCATTCTGTCTTATCCCCTATGCCCCTTGATGAAATAATGTTGTGGCATTCTAGATTAGGCCACCCTAGTCTACGCTATATGCAAGTTTTATTTCCAAATATTAATGATACTGCTATTGCTGAATTTCATTGTGACACTTGCTATTTTGCCAAACAAGTTCGAAATACTTATTCTTCTCACCCATATAATCCTTCTCACCCCTTTTACCTTATACATAGTGATGTTTGGGGGCCATCTAAATCTGAAACACATTCCAAAGCTCGTTGGTTTGTAACCTTTATTGATGACCACACAAGATTAACTTGGGTTTTTCTAATGAAAGATAAATCTGAGGTTTTTTCGCTTTTTCAAAATTTCTATACCTTTATTAAAAATCAATTCCAAACCTCTATCCAGATTTTGCGAACTGATAATGGCAAAGAGTATTTAAATTCCTCTTTTACAAATTTTTTAGCCACTAATGGTATCCATCATCAAACCTCTTGCACCTACACTCCACAGCAAAATGGCATCTCTGAAAGAAAAAATAGGCACCTACTTGAAGTAGCTAGAGCCCTCATGTTTGAAACAAATGTTCCTTCAAGATTTTGGGGAGATGCTATACTTACTGCTACACATTTAATAAATCGTATGCCTTCCAAAGTCCTAAAATTCAAAACTCCTCTCCAGACACTTCTTGAGCATTTTCCCAACTCTGCCCTCTTTACCTCCTTACCTAAAAAGGTATTTGGTTGCACTGCTTTTGTTTACAATGAACATGGGGGGAAACTGGATCCTAGAGCAATAAAATGCATTTTTCTTGGCTACTCTTCAAACCAAAAGGGATATAAATGCTACTCTCCCATCACTAACCGAATCTATATTACTATGAATGTGAGATTTGTTGAAACACAGCCATATTATCACAAATCACCTATTCAGGGGGAGAATCAGGGAAATAATTGGATAATTTGTGATCACTCTAACAAGCAAACAGAACCTTTAACCTACACAAACCCTTCCATGCCTCTAGATATACATATTAACCCACCATCTATACCTGCCACATCTCCAGAACCCCAACACAGCCTTCAAAATAGCCCAGAAAGGACTGACCAAACCCCAACCAGACCTGAAAACTACCCAAACAGGCCTGTACCTCAAAACAGAAACTTGTTTGAACCCCTAAACTCTATTTCTGATCAAGATATGACTGAAAACTTGATAGAATCACCTCCTCATAGCGAAGAACAGCAAAACACTGAACAAAGGCCCACAACTAATCCAACACAGAATCATGATTCTGCACCTCAACCTAGTCCTGAAGATCTCCATTGGCCCATTGCTTTAAGAAAAGGTAAAAGGAGCTGTACTCAGCATCCTATCAGTAAGTATGTGTCTTATGCTAAGCTCTCTCCTCATCTAAAGACTTTTGTAGCTAACGTAGAACATGTGAAAATTCCTAAGAATTTCAATGAGGCTATTTCAGATCCAAATTGGAAGCGAGCTATCGAAGAGGAATTAAGAGCTCTACATAAGAATAAAACCTGGAAAATTACAAATCTGCCTAAAGGTAAGACAATGGTAAGTAGTAAATGGGTATTTACAGTAAAATATAATCCAGATGGGAGTATAAATAAATATAAGGCTCAGTTAGTTGCTAGAGGGTTTACTCAAACCTATGGCATAGATTATCAAGAAACCTTTGCTCCTGTAGCAAAACTCAACACTGTGAATGTACTATTGTCTATTGCTGCAAACTTGGACTGGTCTTTACATCAACTTGATATTAAAAATGCCTTCCTAAATGGAGACCTAGAAGAAGAAGTTTATATGGAAATCCCTTTGGGGATGAGAAATTCAAAAAACTGTGGGAAAGTTTGCAGGTTATACAAATCTTTGTATGGACTAAAACAGTCCCCCAGAGCTTGGTTTGAGAAATTCTCCCAAGCAATTAAGGGACAAGGCTACAAACAATGTCAGGCTGATGATACATTATTTATTAAGCACTATGATGACAAACTAACAGCTCTCATTGTATATGTTGATGATATAGTATTGACAGGTAATGATGAAAAAGAAATTGCAAGGCTGAAGGAAAATTTAGCAACAAAGTTCGAAATAAAAGACCTGGGCCCACTACGATATTTTCTTGGGATGGAAGTGGCACGAACAAAAAGGGGGATAAGTGTATCCCAACGAAAATACACACTGGACCTCCTAAAGGAAACAGGGATGCTAGGATCTCGGCCAGCCAACACCCCAATGGAACTAAACCAAAAGCTGACAATAAAACCCGATGGAGAAGCAGTAAACAAAGAAAGGTATCAAAGGCTAGTGGGGAAGCTCATCTACCTATCCCACACTAGGCCTGATATTTGTTATCCTGTTAGTGTAGTAAGCCAATTCTCAAGCAGTCCCCAAAAGGAACATATGGTAGCAGTTTACAGAATCTTAAGATATCTGAAAAAGACTCCAGGACAAGGACTATTCTTTGCAAAAGGTGACTCTAGAGAAGTGGAACTCTTCACAGACGCTGACTGGGCAGGCTCTAAAAGGGATAGACGGTCCACCACTGGTTATTGCTCCTACGTATGGGGAAACTTAGTAACCTGGAGAAGCAAGAAGCAACCGGTAGTTTCAAGAAGCTCAGCAGAATCAGAATATAGGGCTTTAGCTCTAGGTATTTGTGAGGGGATATGGCTTGTAAGGCTTCTTAAGGAGTTAAAGATGGAAGGCAAGGTACCAACAAAGGTGTGGTGTGATAATCTCTCAGCAATAAAAATTGCCAACAATCCTGTACATCATGATCGCACAAAGCACGTGGAAATAGATCGTCACTTCATCAAAGAAAAGATTGACAATAAAGTGATTGACCTAGCCTACATACCCTCAAGATATCAAATTGCAGACGTGATGACAAAGTCCTTAACTCAAGAAAAATTTGAAGGTTTCAGAAACAAGCTAGGAATGATCAACATCTATTCACCAGCTTGAGGGGGAGTGTGGGAAAGTGGGCTGGCTGTTAGCGGCCCATGAACCAGTATTTTACCCTAAATCTCCTAGATCATTTAATCATAAATGCTGTAGTCCAGGATCATTTAATCATAAATGCTGTAACGGTCAGATTGAGATAAAATCTGATCATATCTGATTATTATCCTATCCCATGATTCTAGGAGCTATTTAGGGAAACCAAATCAGATCTATAATAATTAGGAATATTCTTCCCCATCCTATAAATCATGTAAATTGCTATTCAGTGAAATATATTGTGAATCATTCAGAAACACTAATACATGTTAATGACAAATGACTGGGTAAGCTCATGAAGGTGATATACAAAATGAGGTCCCCAGCTATTTCTACTGTCATCAATCATCCCGCTGCTCCAAGCAAAGCAATAACCATTTTCCAGTTGCCCAAACTGTCTTTCTTTTTGCAGAACAATTGAACTAACATTCATTTTCCAAATTGATGGAGTAACAGTAAATGGGTGGCAAAGTTAGCTTTAAGGAGGTTCAATTTAGAAACTGATCATATCTAAGCTAACATCAGATATCCTGATTTGTCATTCAAAAATAATGAAACTCAAGAGTCCTTGAAAGCAACTAGCGTAAGGCAGCACAATTTCCAGTTATTGTTAATTGCTGACGAATTGCATCCAGACATCTCAGAAACATTGAAAATGGCCTCTGTGAACAAGTTTCTTTAACTCAGGTCAGCTCACTACAGTATTCACAGGTTCTATTTAGACATCTCTTTAGCCTGCCGACAGTTATGTTTCTAAAGACACAGAATCCATCATAACCACATAACGTCTTTAAAAATAACAGGGATAAAGAAAACATATAACTATTTCTTGAAGCAAAGACCTGGCAATAACCAACAGAAGGATTATGTCTGGCATATGCAGTAAGTAATCGCCTCAAAGCATTTCTACCATCCTCATCCAGAGCAGGATGGCCAGGGAACGTTCGAGGCAGATCCTGCACAAACAACAAAAGACTGTAAGTTGAGGGACTTTAGAGCCAGATTTAAAAACCACCAAAAAAAAAAAAAAACACTCGCTTGCACACACAACAATCATAGGGGAATTATCATAGGTGAAACCTTTTCAATCTGCCCTTTCCATTTTTCTGGTACACATATGGAATCTACATTTGCTTTTCCATCTTTGTCACTTGACTGCATAATTTGTTGATCCAATTTACTTGCAGAATCATTCTCAGGAGTTAGCAGGCCCTGATAATATTTCTCTACACGTCTTGCTTTTACACCCACAAAAGCTTGCCAAAGCTAAAGCAACAAAACAAACAAGTGCTAAATCACAAGGAATGAATAAACAAAACAGAAGTTATCCAAATTATACAATGAGTACCTCTCCCCTCAGCGCCATTGGCACTCCCCCACGAACAAGAACCTCCAGCTCCTCCTTCCAAGGACATGAAGACTCTAGTAGTGTTGCATCACCAGCAGTACCATTGGCGGAGGCATTCACACTATCAGCTGAAGGCACATCTAGACTAGGGTCTGACCTCTCTACATCATAAAACTCATCATCAGAGTCCTCCTCACATGCTCCTCTTTGTGATTTAGCCTCTTCAGTATTAGATTGTGATTTCCCCATTCCGAGCAATTGTTCATCTCTCAACAGGTTCTTCCTGTTTCTTTCAACAGACTTCTTTATGCGATTGCTCATCATATCCTCAATAGTACGAAGTGATGGTCTTATCTCTGTCCATAGTTCAACTCTATGAATCTTTTTCGCCTCAGATGCTGGTAACTCCTCTTTTTTACCACCATTATCAACTGTATTATTAGAATCAGGTTTCTGATTTCTTGACTCATATCCGTTAACGCCCTTCCCCGAGTCTCCAGCTTCAGCCTCTGAGACATTGTCATTTTCCTCAACATTTAGTTCATTTTCAACCACTTGAGCAGATTCTGCTTGCTGATCTAGGAAGAACTTCCATCGATCTGACCTTTCTTCTTCTTCCTCCTAAAAGTACAGCTCACGAGGGTTACACATTAAACATCTTCCATTTCAAAGACAATATCTATGACAGGAATAGCAAGAAATAACAATTCACATTAACACATAATCAAGACTTGCAGATGTTTGAATCTGCTATTCTGTTAAGAATTTCAACTTAACAGAAAATGAAATCCCCATGAAATCAGACGACCTTTCCTCAAAAACAACAAAATTTTAGACTGTCCAAAGAGGAATTATAAATCCAAAGTATAATTAAAACCTTGTATATGTTAGCATATTCACGGTATCTTTGCAGGTGCTGAGGTCGCACGGTAAACCCATAGGCGTCCCTGTTTACACCATCAGGCATTAATGTCTAAGAATGAATCATAAAAAAATTTAGAATAATGAGACTAAACAAGAAAATAGAACAAAATAAAATGCATTATAGACATTGATTATCAAGAGAAGACTCCGATAAGAATTAGGAGCACCTTATCAAGAATCAAGGCAGGGAGGAAAGAATCAAAGTGCAACTCAGCTCAAATTACTTGCCGTCGGGCGGCTCAGATTAGACAACAGCATATTTAGTGAAAAACCCACACTCCACTTCCCATAATGTTCGGCATTGCCTCAGCGCAGTTCCCAGCTTAGAAGTAAAGGAAGAAAAGAAAAACAACACATTCGACCCTCCCCATCAAGAATTCAATGCCAATATAGAAGTCAACAAAAAAAAAATCCAAATCAAAGCAAGATCGGTCTTTAAAATACAGCAATTAAATAGAAAACCCAAAACCATTGAAGCGAATCAAATTGTCGCAATTTGCAGTTCCATAGCTAAGGCGGGGCATAAATGTCTTCGAAATCGAAGCTGTCCAAGCAAATTGCAGATTATACCCAGGGTAAAAAAACGATATGATGAAGTTAACTATTGATGGATCTAACAGATGGCGATAGCACAAAACGAAAATCCTATGGAAAAGGGATACTAGAGGAAGTGAAGGAGTGAGAGACGCTTGGAGGAGAGAGCAAAGATGGGTCCATTTACACTATAGAAAACAAATGTGGCAAGTACCTCTTATGCTCAAAGGTGATGAGAGGATTTAGAGCATTGCTGGCCTTCATTGGTGGATTGGATCGGATTAAGCGGCGAAGCCAGAAGAATTTGGGCTGAACGCCAAGTAGAGGAAGATCTTAAGAACCCCTTGATTTTCTGCAATTGAAAGCTTCTTGTGGCAGTCAAGTCACTAGGAGCAGTTGGTTTTTCGGAGTGCAGCAAGGGTAGAGAGATAGAGAGAGAAAGAGAGAACATGCACAAGCGAAAGAGGAGCGAGATTACCGTCACGTTATGATTACATGTGCTCTGTGATTGCTTCACACAGAGACCGAAAAGGCAAAAAGCACTTTCAATTTTTTAAACAAAATTTTGACAATTTATTACCCTTTTTTTCCTCGACGTAGTCACCCTAAGATGGGATCCTTGCCCGAAGAGTCACTGTGTCGCAAGAAACCAATTAAGAGGTCCTAATATTCTTACATATCTCCAGCTTCGTTAAGGTGTGCTTTTATTCTTAAATATCTTTAGCTTCACTGTTATCCTGGCCCTATTTATAAATTATTTTTAATATGTTTTATATAAATTAAAAAAAATCTTAAATATTATTAACTCTTATTTAAAATTCAATAACTTTTTAACTTTGTCCCTATTTAATATACATTATACCTCATGTAAATAAAATTAATATAATAATAAATAAATGGTAAAATTATACATACATACATACATACAAAAAATTTCTTAGTGCCCTATAAATAGAACAAAAAAATATCTTCTCTCTCTATTCTATAAATAGGACCAGAGAAATACTTTGTCCGTTTTATATATAAGAAAAAGAAAAATTTTAAGGAGACATGTCCAAGTTACTTGTATTATTATTTCAAGCTATCCAAACACACATAGTCATATGTATTATTTTTTAAATATTAACATTTAATGAGTATTTAATTATAAATTCATACTAAACCAAAAAGAATATATGGTTATGTGTGATTGAAAAATTTAACATAATAAATATAAATTCATATATGTTATGAATATAATATTTTTGTGGGTATTTATGTATCTACCATTATCTTTCTTATCTCTTATTATCTTCAATATCCCCTATTATCTCTATTATCCATAATTATCTTCTACTATTATGGAATCTGTAGATTCTATTGAAGATATAAAGTTATATCTATAAATAAAGAGTATGTATCATATGTTCAGGACCTCAAATGAAATAAGAAATATTCTCTTGTTTTTCTATTCTCTATTCTCTACTTTTTTTTTCTATATTACACTATTTATTTCAAACATGTTATTAGTACGAGACTCACAATTTATTTCATAACAATATAAACTTTAATGCTTTTAACTATTTTTATTGTTATGTGTGAATTGGTTAGAGACGTCTTATATTCTAATTAGATGGAGTGAATTTAAAAATTTCTGAAATGTTAATTCACTGTTTTTTTTTTTTTTATTGCTCTTTCTCTTGTTGTGTCAGACATACACTCTCTCTTATCTATTTTCTATTCATTCTCCTCTCTTTTTTACTATCGTCCCATAAATAATAATATTCAAAGTATATATCTTTATTATTAACTAATTTTAGTTAATTTTTTATTTAAATAATTTGATTATTTATATCTTTTTACATACAGGGCTGGATGCGTATGTAATTGAGCTTCCGTAATTGCTAGGGAAAGAAATAGTTAATGACCAAATTGGCATGATCACTGCTGTGTTAAGACCATCTAGGCGATCGCCTCATGCCTTTATAAAGAATTTTTTAAACCACTTATATGTTTATTTTATTCGTCAAGATTAGGCATTGAATGCATATCACAGAGATTCTTTTTATGTACAGAATAAAGAAATGGATGCCAATATTTTATTGAAATGAAGTTATTTTTAATTCTTAAGTTGCCTTCAGCATTTTAAAGCATTTTTCTAACAACATCAAGTATTTTAAACTAATTTTTTGTTTGTTTAGTATCGTAACATATTTTTCAATAATATCCAATATTATAAATTAATTATTTGTGCATCAAATGCCCTAAAATACTTTTTAGATGACACTTAATATGCATAGGTGGTAATGCGGGCCTGCCAATTACGTGTAGTGGGTGAGTTGACAAGTTGGCTCGTCAATCAACATTTCTTTTAATTTTTAATATACTTTTTAAATATATGTTTTATAATTTTCAAACTAACATTTATACATATACTAAATTCTATTTTTTTATTTTCATAGGATTATATAATTAAATTAACCTAAAAACTTGCAAATATAAACATATAATCTATTTTTAATACTTATTTTATTGATATAAAAATGATGAATCAATAAAGAAAATGGGAAATGAAACATAGAATCAAAATTTTTAACTAGACCACATTTTAATTGAGTGAAATGATAAATTCTTTTCTTATTAAAATTAAAATAAAAAAATTGTTTAAAAAAAAAAAAAAAAGCTAGCTAGCCTATAATAGGTTGCAGGCTGAAAGAATTCCCTTCAAAATGAGCTCCCATTTTGCCAACCCAACTAAGGTTGAGCCCATGAGCCCAATGAAATTAATTGAATGAACAGTTGATAAAAATCAATCTTTTTGGGATGTTTAATATATTCTATAGTTTCTTATTGTGTCAATTTCCAATTCTTGGTCATTGAGATTCATGGCATACATTGAGCGAGCAAAGAAATGCATTCACGTCTATCATCTACTGAAAAATAAAGATGTGGATGAAGAAGAAAAATGCACGACACGTTTATCATGATTCGATTTATATCCATGTGACCTTTGTTCAATCCCTAGAAACCTCCTAAGATTTTAAGTCAATGAATCCCCAAGATTCAAATGAGCTCTTGGTGCCTCAATGCAATTCTACAAGTTTCGCGTGGGCACTTGTGAAGCATAATGATCCCCTCAAGTTTTAAATAGGTATTTGAGAACCTATTCCAAAGTTTCAGTCATTACTTGAAAACCTATTATGTAAAATCATGGATTTTAATCCTAAAATTTAGAGTCTAATAGGACCCGTTTTAGGAAGAACGATCACGTGATTTAGTGATCTTTGAAGTTTAGTCAAGTATTACAAGAGTAGGTTTGGCTTGGAGGATGGAAATTAGGAAGAATAACCTTTCTATGTTGTTCGCCACAGCAAACATTGCTTTTTGGAAGAGCAACATTATTGTGTTGTCTACTATGAAAAGAAATGTTTGCCATAACAAATGTCACATAAGAGAATTTTTTAGCAACTATGTTGTTTGTTGCAGCAAAAATGCATAGTTATTGCAGTGAACATCCAAAAATTTGCCTAACTCACAAAAAAAAATTATGGTTGAGGAGGGAGAACTCGAGGGGCTTTGTTAAAGTTTGATGTTTTCAGTTTGGGGAGTATATTTGAGCTTTTAAACTCTCAAGTAGGGCTACACATCAAACAAACTAGACTAGAGTCTAATCTTAAGTTTAGTCTGTTGTATACTTCCTCCATCCCTTATTATAAGATCATTTTAACTAAATCATGCGGTTTAAAAAAAACAATTAAAATTAGTTAAAAGCAATTAATATATAGCAAATGTAAATTTTTTCCAAATATACCCCTATACATCAATGGATAAAGATAAGAGAATAATAGTGAGATAAATGAAGAAAGAGAATGTATGGGGAGAGAATTACATGAGAGAAAGTAAGCAAGGAGAGAGACGGATAAATGTATAAGAGAAGAACTACATGAAATTTATTAAGGGTAAAATAGGTACTAATGTATTAAATGCTCAGACAAACTCAAAAAAATCTTATAAAAAAGGACAGACCAATTCAAAAAAATTGGATATTATAATAAGGGACGGAGAGAGTACATGGGTTAAGTTAGGCAACTTGTAGTCTGGCATGGCCAAAATAAACCCAAGGTCGGGCTAGACTAGATTTGTTCTATCAGGTTGTTAGACTAGTCTAGGCAATTCAAGAAAATGGTAAGGAAAAAAAAAGCCAAAAAAAAAAAAATCAAACATAGCCATCATCAAAAGTAATGGGTACATCATTTAAAAAAAAATCAAATACTTGAGGACCTGAACTCTCTCAAGTTTAACTTGGGAACCTGAGAACCATTCTCCCTTACAACTTGTAAGGTTACAACAAAATTTCTACTCAAGAACTCTTTACCTTGAGTGACTCTCAATATAAGAAATTATTATAGGGATTACACAATCTCTTTTTCTCAAAGATTGATTATGATCAACATTGAAGTACAAGCAGGATGAATGCTTAAGTTTTGAATATAGTAATCAGATATTCCATTGTGTTTTATTGGCTCATAATTTCACAATGTTCACCCTCCTCTTTCTTCAACTCGAATGCTTCTCCTTTTATACTTAAATAAGTTTTGATGACTACTGGAAAAGTTAAGCTATCCGTTAGAGATGATTGGTCTTCCTATTAGAAACTTCTAAGAGCCATTGCCCGCATTAAATAACTCTGTTAGAAAAGCAACTCTAATTAATGAGATAGCTATTATAATCACTATGAAAGAAATAAGTTAATAGACATTTATAACGAAGTTTCAAAAGATTTGTACAAAGACATAAGCATTTAGGATCAATTCATAAAATCCGATAGGGTTCTAAAAGTAGAGTAACATGACTTGAGCGTATAACTCAAGTCGTGTAGCTTAGAATTGAAGTTTTAAGAAAGAAACACAACAAAGTTGAGTTGTGTAGCTTAAAAGCAAGCTGCAGTGCGAAATTCGGAGTTGTCAAGATGAGGCTTGGAAAGAGTATATAAAAGGCCTAAATTCCTTCTTTCATACTAAAATTGGAAGAAATTTTCAAGTATAAGGAGATGAATTGGATGACTTCGATGATGAGGATTACCCTACATTATACGGCTTGCACAACGCAAATCTCTTGCTACCGAGTTGCTTGGCAAAACAATTCCACTAAGAGGTATGAAGAGTAGCTTGGAACATATTTAACAAATGGGGAGAAAAAAAAAGAGAAGCCTTTCACAACTAGGGATAGGATAATACATTGCTAGAAAAAAACCATTTAACAGCAGCTAATTAAAGTTTTTCTCAACGGTTTTGGAGGCGAAATAGATACTGTTGACGTTGAAAGAAGAAGAAAAATACGACGGTTGTAAACCGCCGTGAAAAAATGACTTTCCACAGTGATTTTACAGAAAATCACTGTGGAAATTTAATTTTCCACGATAGTTTACTATAAAACCACCGTGGAAAGTCATTTTTTCACGAAACATTTTTAACGGCAGTTATGCAAATAACCGC